TATGATAAGACTTTTGCATAAGAGGAAGAGTGGAAAAAGGCATTGAGTGGGAGAGATCAGAAAATGATAAGAAAAAAGCCATATATGTTATGAGTACAAACACAAGAGAATTGAGTGTCGTTATTCTTTCCTTGTAATTGTTGTGTGTTGTGAGTACTATAAATTTATACATAAATAATGTGCAAGTATACATAACCGCTCAAGTAATAAACTGATGAGTGAGTATCATCTCCATAAGGATTGGTGGAAATTACAAAGTTTAACCAAAGCAGAGCACTACTATATCTAAGTATAGTTAGTGCTGATATGTACTAATGAAAAACGTCACGGCAATGGAAAATGTATGTTGGTGGATATGGATTGATAGTTTGATGGGGCAGCAAATGGAAATGTAGTGGCAAGAACAATTTTTAATGTTAAAAATAATTGAAATGTTGAGGCAAGGAAAAACAATAAAAACAACAAATAAATGATAGTTTTATAATCATCACACAACAAGATTCCACTAGAATGAATGGTAGGGATTGATTTAAGGATACTAAAACTTATCTCTCAGGAAGATTTAATCTATCTAAACTTCACTTGCTCGACAGGGTTTGCTGAAAATGCTCCCGCTATCTCTAGTCAGAGGAACTTAACATGATAGAATTCGATGACATCTCCTCTCAGTCTTAGCTATGGTAGCCTATACTATTGATAAAAACTATTTTTAGTCATTAAAATCCTATCTATATCTTTCATGTACTAAGGGATTAGGATATAGTATTACTAGGCCGGTTCAAAGCTTAGGAAAATACTATATCCCATTGCTTATATGGATCTTTCTTGTGTTTCTCTTAAATACTACAAGTATTATTAGCTAAGTTTCTCTCAAACACCTAGCCTTCATCTAAGAAATGGATACTCTCATGCCTCTTACAAACTTAGATGATGAAGCATTCATAAGAAAAACAAGAGAATATACAAGATAAATATTAACCTACCATTAAAATAAAGTTAAACATCCATAAAATAACCCCACCAAATAAAGTTAGTTCATGGTAGGGTTCGATCATCCATAGAACAAGCCAAGAAATATATTCGTTCCAAACAACCCAATAATAAATGGAAAAATAATAGAAAAGAAAAGAGAGAAAAAGCCTTTGATGCGTGCCATCAGAGCTCTCCTTAACCACCAAGACTCGCCTTAGCTCACAAGCTCCTCTCGGATGTCTAGCTTGCGATTCCTTGGAGCTTATCAAAGGAGTAATGTCACTTAAGGAAGAAGAAAGGGTTACTATAAAAAAGATAAGAAAATGTTGTTTAAATCCTAATCCATTTTCTCTCTCTTGTGAGGTGTAATATATAATAAAAATATCTAAGGGTAATGATAGAATTTGTGCACTCAAAATACCCATTGTAGACACCCATTTTTGATCGGGCTTAAAAATATTATAAATATTAATTATATTGTTATTATTATTATTATTATTAATATTTATTATTTTACATTTGCAGACCCAATTTACAAACTCAAATTACAAGACCCGAATCCAGAATCGACCCGCTAGCCACCAGAGATGCATGTGTGCTTCATTGCTGCTCTTATCCATGCGTATGAGCTACTGCCAATCATGCCATATTCATCTCACGTGGAACCTGTAATCATCCACTGAACGTTCAAGCAGCAACCAAAGTCAAAAGAAAAAGAAAGCAATTTAATCCCGAAAATTTCGGGATTTCACTTAACCTTCTCCAATCAAAGTCTCACCAAAATGAAGAAAATCAACATGCAACGGTAAAGGAAAATGGTGAATTCAAAGCAACCATAAATATGGGGGCAATTATACGAGCAGAAAAAAGGGGGGGAAGGGGAGTAGCCATCAACTCGAGAGCAAACAAATGATATCCATCAACCATTAGAAGCAAAGAAAAAAAACAGGAGAGGAGCAGCGATTGTAATCAAATTGAGGAAAAAAAAACCCGGAAACAAATTGTAATTGGGGTTTCATTTTTTTTTATCGAGAGTAATAAAAAACATTAAGGTATTTCCTTATTTTAATTTGTTTTTTTACTTTAACAGTGTTAGTGTGTGTGCTTCAGGATGAAATACGAGTAGAGAGAAAGAGTTTTTTTACATGGGTTCGTTGCTTCGGGTTTCTATCGGAGTAGATTTTAAACGTGGTTCGTCTAGACTTTATTCCACGACATAATAGTTCAGTCAAAATTAGAAATTTAGGGGTAAGTTTGTGTTAAAGTAAGAGAAGGAAGAGGGTCGTTTTACCTTAAGTGCATGGCCTCATCGTCTGGGCAGTGCTCTGCCTTTGGTCTTTGGGATTGAGCGTTGGAGAGGGAAATCAGAGAGGCAGGGAAGGGTGTAGAAAAAATGAATGAAAAAAAAGAAAATAGAAGGAGAGTGAAAGAAGGCGGCAGCAACTAAAAAAGGAGTTTAGGTTTCCTAACACTATGTCTCCTTATTATATTATTATTATTTTTGTTTTAATATTCACGCATATGTGTAGAACCATTTTAGGGACAGATTTCCTTATTTTAGGTAAATGGGATATGTACATAGAGGGTCCTTTTATCCTTTGAAATCAACTTTGTGCATCAAGTGAAGTGGGGATTCTTTAATTTCGAGCCTTTAAATTTTCATGCAATTTATTTTAATCCTTATATATTTGTGTGTTTCTGTTTATTTATTTATTTATTTTTTTCCGTTGATATCTTGTTTTAATATTATTTATTTTGGTCTAGATAATTGTTTTATGGTTTCATTGTGATTTCATTGCCTATATTATATGATATTTACATGTGATTTTGATTATTGTCAATTTAGACGTTTAGATTTTAAAGTCACCATTTTTTTTGCTAACTCATATATATATATTATGTATAAACATAACACGTTATGGCACTATGCTACTTTTGAACCATTTCTATTTCACAAGAGAGAGGGATCTTAGCTAGCTGGAAATCAAAGATATAGAGAAAAAGATGCACGGCATGCGATGGATATATATGTTTTAGTCCATCATAGTTTAACTTTTAGTCCATCATAATTTAACTTAATGTGTACGTATATAATTCCTCATATTTATTTTTATATAGATTTTAATTGGATTATCATATATACATATATATATATATATACATATATATATTTCCTTAGCCAACTTTGAGTATTATTAGTTTTCTTAATATGTTTTATATATGGTTGTATTCATTTATAGATATAAATTTAGGTACATGACATCTTTTAATTAATTGTATTATCATCCTCATGTGCATATCTCGGCATTATTACATAATTTGATTAAGGGTAATATCCTTTTAATTTGAAATTGTTTTAAGTGGGTTGTCTTAACTGATTAGATATCCGCTTTTAACGATTTTAAATTAGAAGTGTATCCCATTAGTGACACCGAAAAATTGATTTATCACTTTAAAATTTGGGAACGGAAGATAAAGAAATGTTCGGCTATTTAAATTTATCGAGAAAAGGTTGTTATAACTATTTAAGATCTGGTCTCGATATTTTTAAATAATCGAATATTCTTTATCTTTCTAAAGGTTAGGTAATTTTAATTTAATCTATTTTGGTGATTTTAAATATTGTAAAATACATGTGTTGTTATTTTGCTGGGGATCATAAACTAAATTAAACTCGAATTTGTAAATTTCATTGCAAAGACATTAATTAATCGATGAGGTACCGATTTAGGGCGTTGTGGGGGTGCTAATCCTTCCCCACACGTAATCGACTCCCGAATCAAGATTTTGGTAACACAGACTTCTAATTGTCGTTTTAATTAAAATCATTTTTTTTATTTAGAATGACAACGTTTTTGGGTGCCCAATCACACCATAATCAAAGGTTGGTGGCGACTCCTCGAACCATATGTTTTTATCGTAAAGGAATTTCCAAATTTTCAAAACAAAAGGTTTTCTAAAATCACATTGTTTTTAATTAAAAATCAATCGTAAAGAGAATAATTAAAAATGGCGTGTTTTTCCAACTGAAAAAAATCGTTTCGACAGCTTGGCGACTCCACTGGGGACTTTTTTCAGAGAGTCAGGCCTATAGTCGGTTAATTGATTGTCTTTGCAATTGAAAGTTGGAAATTCGTTTTAATTTGGTTTTTGATCCCTATTTGATTTTAATGTTGTTGTTCGGAATTTGATTAACCAATAAATAGTTGTACTGATCTGTTTGCTAATGGTTTCAGATTAATTTTGTGTTTAAAGAGGATTGATTTTTTGATTGCTTTGTGATTATGTGTTGTTTTATTTTCACTTTTCCTCACACACTGCACAGTTGCATTTGCATAACATGAGCTAAAACCCCGCTCCGTCCTATTTAAGTAGGAGTGAGAGACTACCCCCTCGTGTGGTTTTCACCTCCGCAAGGGATAGTGGATCACTCCTGGAGCTCACACCTTATGGTCCTCGTGATGGTATTCACCTCCGCATGGACATAAGGAGGTGTGTTCCCTCGAAATTGAACTCGATCTACTAAAGCCTGTGATGGGCCAGGATTGAGGGTTCGGCAGCCCAAAGGGGCACCGGCAAGGATAATTCGAGAACCTAATACTTTAGAACCTAACCCAGCATATAGTGAACATAGAGCCCAAACTTAGGTCGAGCCTGACCCGAACCTTAGGAGTCTCGTGAGGAGGGTACACAAGGAAAAGCTTTTTGAGTCATTTAATTGCGTTTTCTGAGCAAATGCATGCGAACTAGAGATCATGTGGTTAGGTTGAATTAGGTATCATGCGGTTAGGGTTTTAATGTTCAGATAAAGCATAGGGGTAGATATCTTGTTGGGTAGGAAACGATAAAGAATGACTGGGTAGTCAGCATGTGAGGGTAGGATTCTTTAACAAATTATTATCCCTGATTAATTGACTAATGTTTACTAACTGGTTTTCTTTTGTCTATGTTTTATTCCTTTTGCTTTGCATTGCACTATCTATTTCATGGTGTTGATTTGGGATCGATGTCCATTAGAAGGCCAGAATATGGAACGAAAGGTTCAAAAAGAGGTTGATGACAATGCAGATGTTTTGAGATGGTCGATGCAATCCCAGTTGTCCAACGGAGACAGTTTAAAGCTTGATTATGTGTCGGAGATGTTTACTTACACTCACATCAATGTGCGTCAGAATGATTTGAACGAGCTTAAAGAGATTTGGGAAGGATGTGAAACAGCCGACCAAGATATGTTTTATCAGTTGTATGGTGATATACCTTACCTTCTCGATGTTCCGATCGATCGAAATCTGTTTAGGGCCCTGGCGCAGTTCTGGAATCCCGGTTATAGCTGTTTCACGTTTGGAAGAGTGGATTTGACGTCAACAATAGAAGAATATCGAGCTTTGATCCGGTGTCCAAGAGCTCAAGTGGACAGAGTTTATACCAAGCCCCCAGTCACTCCTTCGTTCAAAAAGAAATTGCTATTGATCATTGGAATGAGCGAGGATTGGGTTGTAAAAAATATTAAGAAGAAAAGAGACAGTGAATGTTTTCCTTGGTCCGCTTTGAAGGAAATAATCAATCGTCATCCCGATCAGAGAAAGAAGCTTGATTTACTTGTTTTAGGGATTTATAGGCTCGTTATCTTCCCGAATGTGCTAGGGTACGTAGACGTATTAGTTGTCGACCTGTTCGAAAGATTAGACAAGCATGTGGATCCTGTTCCCGCCATCCTAGCAGAGATGTTTCGTTATTTGAGTTCTTGCAGGCGAGAGGGAGAAGGACGCTTTATAGGATGTGCACCCCTACTACTAGTATGGATCCTCAATCATTTCAAACATGTCAAAAGGGCACCGGGTCGAGTGTTTTTGGATGGGTTTTCACCTTTGAAAGATTTCCTTTCAAAAGATTGGCCTAGAGGTTTTACTGAAGAAAAGTGGATGGTCATATTCAGGGATATCCGAGACGGTGATGTTTTATGGCGAGCTTCTTGGAATATCACTTCAGATATACTTTACAAGTGTGGAGAGCGGGATTGGGTGCCTTTGCTGGGTATATGGGGCTCTGTTGGGTATGCACCTCTGCTGGTTTCCAGACAATATGGGTCAAGGCAGTTCATTCCGGCTACACGGGACTTGTCAGGATCAGATTTTGCATTCAAGGGAGATCAATACAAGAGCAAAGTCAAAGGGGTTGCTGAAGCTTGGAAGCAGACTCATCGTATGAATCTGTTCACATATGGTCTCGAACTATCACAAGAGTACGAGCAGTGGAGAAACAATCGAGTAAACGACAACATTCCGATGGCAAATCCTGAAAACATTCAACCCGTGGAAGAGCATTTGAGGATAGTGCCATCTCCATTAGAGCTAGCTAAGCGCGATTTTGAGGCGGAAAGGAGACAATGGAGAACTACTCTGCAAAAGCTAGAAGATGAGGTGTTTCAGAAGGGGTTGGAGATCGATATTCAAAAAAGTAAAGCGGACTGAGCTGAAAAAGTAGAGAAGCAACTTCGGTTAGATTTTGATGATCTTCAATCAAATTACCAGCGAATGGTGAAAGATCAGACATCTTCTAGTTCAAGCAAGTTATCGGTTGAGTGGAGACATGAAGTGGCAAGCTTGAAGAGGGCAGCCGGGGAGAGTCAGGAAGAGCTCAAGCAAAGCAGACACCAGGTAAGGATTTTGTCGAAGGAAAAAAGTTGTTTAGAGCAGTAATTACAAGAAGGTCAAGCTTATAGCGAGAAGCTGAAGGGGAAGATCTCGAGTATGGAGGCTGCGGTGCGACGATACAAGAGTCGGGAAGGTAGCTCGAGTCATGGAGAAGTCGAAAGTCTGAAAAGAAGAGTAAGAGAGCTCGAAGCCATGGTTCAGGAGTTCCAGAGGCAATCAATTGAATTATCGATAGTTCCTTATGAAGGGGATGTCCAGTGGCGTGTTCGATGGGAGCGAGCTCAGGCGAGAGCCAAACGAGGAGAAGACCTCATCGCTTGTTACCTGGGGCATGCTCGGGGGATCGCACAGTATTTTGTCGATCTATCTCAAGAAGCTACTGCTATAGGCGGAGAGTTGGATCCTGAGGCGGAAGAAAACGAGAAGATCTTGGAATTGCTAGCCCATGTGCAACAGATAGGGGAAACAGTGCAGATTTATCTGTGATATGTTTTAACCTTGTAATCGAACGTCGTCTCTAATATACAGAGTTATTCTAAGGAATCACTCCAGGATCAACACCCTGCATTTTGCATATGCATCATTTTATTGTTTTTCGCAATGCATCTTTATTTTTCTTACATCGCACTTTATTCATTCATAATCATATACTTCATATTCATTAAATAAGATATAAACATTAACAAAAGGAACTGTGTAACAGAGAAATACTGGGAAATTCTAAGCATCACTATAACACAAGGAAGGCCATGGATGATAAAATCGCTCAAATTGAAAAAACTCAACTGCAGTTGCAAGATGATCTAAGGAAAATGCAAGAAGATATGCTTAAGGCTCAAGAGGATATGTTGTCTAAGTTGACAAGTATTCTGGGAGGGAGAAATTCAGAACATGGAAAGGCCCATGAGCAAATAATTGAAGAACCACTTTATCCTCCAGGGTTTACCCCTAAGCAGTCTCCAAATATCCAAGGAACGTCAGTCCCTACTAAAGTACACATAAATCCCATTGGCATTATTGTTAATCCACAACCTGGATCTTGCTCGCATCCCGAAGAAAGTACATATCACCAGGTCCCGGACCTTGATGAGGAAGCAGAGAAGAAGGAAAACAAGTTGTTGCAGGAGCAGTATAAGCAGCTAGCAAATGAAGTACAAGCTATGAAAGAAGACACCAGCTTGTATGGTCTCGACGCTAAGGAACTGAGTTTAGTTCCTGATCTGGTCCTACCTTCCAAGTTTAAAACTCCCGACTTCGAGAAATACGACGGTACCCAATGCCCTTCTGCCCATATCACAATGTTTTGCAGGAAAATGACTGGTTATGTAGGGCATGACCAGCTATTGATTCACTGTTTCCAGGAAAGCTTAGTAGGTTCAGCACTGCGGTGGTATAATCAACTAAGAAGGGTTGTTGTTAAGTCCTTGAAAGATTTGGCCAAATTATTTCTTGACCAGTATAAACATGTAAAGGATGTCAGGCCTAACAGAATGGTGTTGCAAGCAATGGAAAAGAAGCATAATGAAAGTTTTAGACAATATGCTCAAAGATGGAGGGAAGTAGCAGTACAAGTCCACCCACCGTTGGTAGAGGAGGAAACGAACCTACTTTTTGTTAATACCTTGAAGGCTCCCTTCTTCTCACACTTTATTGGTAATCCTTCTCGAAGTTTTGCTGATATAGTTACGGCGGGAGAAATGATTGAAATGGCAATTAAAAGTGGGAAGCTCGAGGGAGAAGAGTCCAACAAGAAACCACCGATGAGGAAGAAGGAAAATGAAGTCAGCAATGCAAGGCAGTATGATTCCCATAACATCACAGTGTCTCGACCTCAAGGTACGGTGACACCACCATAAATGGACAATAGACAAGGGGCAAGGGATCCAAGGAGAGAGAGGCCTCAATTTGATCCGATTCCTATGACTTATAAGGAGTTATTCCACGAATTATACGATCGACATGTAGTCTCACCTTATCATGTGGACCCCATACAACCCCCTTATCCCAAATGATATGATGCTAATGCTAAATGTGAATACCATGCGGGGGTTTCAGGACATTCTATTAAAAATTGTCCTGCGTTCAAAAAAGTCGTCCAAGCTCTGAGAATAAGAAATGTCATCAATTTTGGTGACAGCGAACAACCAAACATAGCCCAGAATCCCTTGCCAAACCATGCAGGAGCCGGGATTAACGCAGTTACTGAAGGGAAAGGAAGAATGACTATAAAGAATGTTAGTGAGGTGATATCACCCATGTCTTGGGTATGGTGCCAAATGGTCAAAGTAGGACTATTAAAGCCCAATCTGCCATGTGAACAGTTCAACAATGAAGAGATGTGCCATTACCATAACTGCACAGGACACAATATACAACAGTGTCCTGATTTCTTAGAGCTGGTGCAAGAAATGATGGATAGTAAAGAAATCGAGTTCTTCAAAGAAGTGGCTGAGAAAGAAGAGGCAGAAGTTTACGCCTCTGAGGGATCATCCAAAGGGGTCTATGGTTCTAGTTATCCCCTCTTCATTACTCCCAAGAATCGAGTGGCTGAGAATGTAGCTCCAAAAGTGATTATTACACCTCCCTCTCCGTTCCCGTATAAAGATAATATGCAGGTGCCCTGGAGATATACTTGTCAAATAAGAGAGGTAGCAAAGCAACAAGAAGAAGTAGACGAAGTGTGACATATGACCAATAGTGGTAGATGTTATCACAAAGAGCCTGAGAAGAAGGTTCTGTCGAGAAAGGAAAAGGTATTGATGTGCAGATAAAAGAAGATGAGCTCGTCGTCAATGAGCAAGTAACAGAGAATGAAGCAGTGGAATTTTTAAAATTTCTGAAACATAGTGAATATAGTATTGTTGAGCAACTGCACAAGCTGCCTGCCCGTATTTCTGTCCTATCACTTCTTCTGAGTTCAGAGGCTCATCGCAATGCCTTGTTAAAAGTTTTGAACCAAACCTTTGTCCCAAAGGAGATACCCACAGAAAAACTGGACCGACTAGTTGCCAACATACAGGCCGATAATTTTTTATATTTTTCTGAGGACGAGATCCCTTCAGGGATGATTGGCAATCATAAGGCTTTGCACATTACAGTTAGGTGCAAAGGGCATGTTTTATCCAGAGTACTGATAGATAATGGTTCAGCACTAAATGTGATGCCCTTGGTGACCCTGAAAAAACTGCCAGTTGATAGTACCCTGATGAGAATCTGTCAAAGTGTGGTTCGAGCTTTTGATTGAACAAAAAGAGAAGTTCTAGGCAAGATTGATATTCCTCTAACTATTGGTCCTGCGATATATGAAGTGGATTTTCTAGTGATGGACATCATGCCTACATACAACTGCTTGTTGGGAAGGCTTTGGATTCATCAGGCCGGTGCGGTTCCATCAACTTTGCACCAGAGGATAAAATTTGCAATTGATGGGAGGCTTATATGCATTCATGCTGAAGAAGACATTATCGCTTCAGTTTCAACTACGGCTCCATACATTGAAGTGGAAGAAAAAGCTGTTGAATGTTCTTTCAGATCTTTAGAATATGTCAATGCCACGTTCGTGGCGGAAGGAAAGAAGATCCCGAAGCCTAGATTGTCAAACTGCACCAAAATGGGGCTTAAACTAACTCTTGGAATGGGAGCGAGAGCTGGCAAAGGGCTTGGACGTCAATTGCAAGGACTGGTGAGTCCAATCTACCCTATAACTAAAAGAGATAGGTTCGGTTTAGGGTATCAGCCAACTTTAAAAGAAAAATTGAGAAGTATCAAGAAGAATCAGGAATTGAGGAAGGCAAGATTGACTGGTGAGCACCCAATCTGGGAGCCCATGACATTCTCTCAATTGAGTAGCATTTTCGTATCAGGAGGATATATGTTTCAAGGGACTTTGGAAAGCAGTAAAGTGATATTTGAGGATTCCTTGGAAGACTTGGGCATTAATGTCATAACCGATGAGGAATTCAAAGAAATGAGAGCTACGGGCATTTACCCTGCGCCACCGGGATTTGTGTTGAACAACTGGACTGCGGAGGAACTGCCTGTAGTTTACAAATCTTTTGCAGAGTAATACACTAGAACTCTTCACTATTGTTCATACCCTGGGACAATAGGTGATTTGATGTAAAGGGTTAAGTTGTGTGTTTTTACTTGCTTTCAATAAAAGATGTGTTTTGATTCCCAAATGGCAAACATTTTTCATGCATATCATTCTTGGTTGTATACATATATATTATTTCTTTCTATTTATTTATATGGGAAAAGATTCTCCCGTATGCATATATGTATATATATTTTCTCTTCCGTTATCCTTTCAGGAGCTCAGATATCAATGATAAGAATGCTAATGACTCTGACCTGGAGATTGATTTCGAGATGCCCATATGTCAAGGGGAAGTCGAAGGGTGTGATGATGATGAGGGATGTGAATTACCTTATGAATTGCTAAAGATGGAAGAACAGGAGAATAAACAGATTCTGCCTCACGAAGAGCATACTGAGATTTTGAATTTGGGAACGGATGAGGATAGAAAAGAAGTTAAGATTGGTACTACCTTGTCTGTTGAAGGAAGACAGAGTTTGATAGAATTACTTCAAATTTTCAAGGATGTATTCTCTTGGTCGTACGAAGATATGCCAGGTTTGGATACAGAATTGGTGGTCCATAAACTGCCAATAAAGCCTGATTGTAAGCCTGTACAACAGAAGCTGAGAAGAATGAGACCTGAGATGCTGCTCAAAATTAAAGAAGAAGTGAAGAAACAATTTGATGCCGGGTTTCTTACAGTGGCCAAATATCCTGAGTTGGTAGCAAATATTGTTCCGGTACCAAAGAAGGACGGGAAAGTTCGAATGTGTGTCGACTATAGAGATCTTAATAGAGCTAGTCTGAAAGACAATTTTCCTTTGCCGCACATAGACACATTGGTGGACAATACTGCCGGAAACTCCTTATTCTCATTTATGGATGGTTTTTCCGGCTATAATCAAATTAAAATGTACCCTGAAGATATGGAGAAAACAACGTTTGTCACTATGTGGGGGACGTT